AATAAGGAAAGCAGTATGAGAAATCCTGGTATGGGATGAACTGAACTGAAGCGATGGGGAATGTCGTGTCGGCTTTCAAAATTTCAAAATTTCAAAATGAACTGAAGTAGATGAAATTTGAGATGTCTCAAGAGTGAAGTGAAGGGTAGGAGGAAGAGAGAGGAGGGGTCTGACAGGGAATGAAGGGATGGGGAATGTGGAAACCCACTTTCAAGAGGAGGAAGGCGTTATCTTCAAGGGGGAGGTGTTACCTTGAATGGCAGGTAAGCGTTGCGCGTTTTGATGTTGTACCGAGAGGCATAGTTGATGGGGATGCGCCTCTCTGCCTCCTGCTCGGAGGGAGGGGGTGGTGGGAAGGGTGGCGTGGGGGAAATGGAAGGAAGGGTAAGGGGGAGTTTGGGTTGGTTGTACCGGAAGGCAGGCAGGCAGGGTGGCAGGAGGGCAGGCAGGCAGGAGGACAGGAGGGCATGCGGGCAGGCAGGCGGGCAGGCAGAGACCACAGCACAACCACCCACCTGGACGTAGACGATGCCAAAGACGAGCAGCAGGAAGGAGGTCAGAAGCAGCGCCTCTCCGGTAACGTTCCCCTGCTCAGATGCCTCCGTGATGGTCCGTCCAATGGACGCCGGCAGGTACGGGGAAAACAGCACACCCGCCTGCACCCACTCGCACCCACCCGCACCCACCCGCATCCATCCGCACCCACCCACCTGCACGTAGACGATGCCAAAGACGAGCAGCAGGAACGAGGCGAGCAGCAGCGCCTCGCCGGTAACGTTCCCCTGCTCTGTAGCCTCTGTGATGGTCCTTCCAATCGACGCCGGCAGGTAGGAGACGATGTTGGTGAAGATGAGCAGCGAGGTGCCGTTGCCGAGCTTGAGGCAGGAGGAGGCACACAGGCAGGCAGGCAGACAGGCAGAGAGCAGGAACCCACCTGCAACCATCCGCACCCACCTGGACATAGACAATCCCAAAGACGAGAAGCAGGAACGACGCCAGCAGCAGCGCCTCTCCGGTAACGTTCCCCTGCTCTGTAGCCTCTGTGATGGTCCTTCCAATCGACGCCGGCAGGTAGGAGACGATGTTGGTGAAGATGAGCAGCGAGGTGCCGTTGCCGAGCTTGAGGTCGGTGATCTTGTCTCCCAGGAGAATCACAGCAACTGAGCCGAGGGTGAGGCCTGAGACGGCTGAGACGGCCCAGGCGACTGAGGGGTCGTAGGCGTACTGCTGCAGATAGGCGACTTGCCCTATGGCCTGGTGGGGGGAGGGGGGTAGGGAGAGGGAACAGGGAGACACAGTGAGAAGGCAAGCACTGACACTGCCCAGGCGACCGACGGGCCGTAGGCGTACTGCTGGAGGTAGGCCACTTGTCCTATGGCCTGGGGAATAGAACAGGGGAGAGAGCAGGGGAAAGACAGGGAATGATGGTGGGGACCTGAGGGTGAGACCGGACACTGCTGAGACAGCCCAGGCGACCGAGGGAACGTAACGAATCAATTAACATACCTGCAGAGCACCAAACGCCACAGCCATATATTTCATATACTGCTGCGCCTTCTTCCTCCCTGCCTCCCCCTCCTTCTTGTGCCGGCCACCTACCTTACACACTTGGAGTGTTCTTAGAGCGAATCAATCAACCCACCTGCAGAGCACCAAACACCACTGCCATATACTTCATATACTGCTGCGCCTTTTTCCTCCCTGCCTCCCCCTCCTTCTTCTGCAGATCCCCAATCTTGGGATACAGCGTCCCCAGCAGCTGAAACACGATCTGAGCGTTGATATACGGCACGATGCCCAGCGAAAACAATCCCAGCCGTCCAATTCCGCCCCCTGAGAGGGTATCTAGGGTGGCCAGGAATGAGCCCTCCCCCAGTTGCTCCTGGAAGGCAGAGATATCAACACCCCACAGGGGAATGTAGATGCCCACGCGAGATAGCGCGAGCAGACCCAGGAGCATGAGGAATTTCTTGGGTAAATCGCCCTTGAAAAAGTCGCCGATGTCGATTTTGCTGTCCTCAACTGGAAAGGTGGTGCAGGTCAGGTCAGGGGAGAGGTGGAAACGGGAGGCAGAGGGGGGAGAAAGAGGAGGGAGAAGAATCGGGTGGGTCATACAGCCCATACAAACATATAAGCCTCGTCAGAATCAACACAGCCACGAGTTGCGGCAGCCCTCTGTCTCCCACTTTCCCCACCCCCTGAAACCCTTCCTTTCCAGCCCTCTACACACACATATGCATACAGCCTTTTCCATATCATGTACCCACCGGCTGCAACAGCAACCCCCTCTCTCGCCCTCTCCCGTCCCTTCCCCTCCAAACCCTTTCCTGCTGGTGACTTTTGAGTCGACTCAAAAGTCACCTACGCACACACATATGCACACAGCCTCGTCCAAATCATGCACCCACCGGCTTTTGAGGCGCCTCAAATGCCAGATCATGCACCCACCGGCTGCAACGGCAACTCTCTCTCTCCCCTTTCCCCCCCCCCCCCCCCCCCCCTGCCCAAACCTTTTCTTCCTGGCCCTCTACACCCACAAATACCCACCAGCTGCAGCAGAACCAGACGATTTCTGCTGCTGCGTTGCCTGGGCCACTGTCGACAAACGCCTGTTACCGCTGCTGCTGCTGCTGCTGCTGCTTCCTGGAAGAGGCAACGACGACAAACCCACAGGCCCGCCCTCCCCTGCCTTGCCTCCCTGCATGATCTCAACATGGAGGGAGGAGATGGGGAGGGGCTGTATTCAGGGAGGGGCTGTATTCAGGGAGGGGCTGTATTCAGGGCGGGGCTGTATTCAGGGCGGGGCTGTATTCAGGGAGGGGCTGTATTCAGGGCGGGGCTGTATTCAGGGAGGGGCTGTATTCAGGGAGGGGCTGTATTCAGGGCGGGGCTGTATTCAGGGCGGGGCTGTATTCAGGGCGGGGCTGTATTCAGGGCGGGGGCAGGTGACGAATGGTTGGGCTTTTGAGTCGACTCAAAGGCGTGTGGTGAGTGTGCGGTAAGCGCGGGCAGGTGACGAATGGTTGGGCGTTTGAGTCGACTCAAAGGCGTGTGGTGAGTGTGCGGTAAGCGCGGGCAGGTGACGAATGGTTGGGCGTTTGAGTCGACTCAAAGGCGTGTGGTGAGTGTGCGGTAAGCGGGGGCAGGTGACGAATGGTTGGGCGTTTGAGTCGACTCAAAGGCGTGTGGTGAGTGTGCGGTAAGCGCGGGCAGGCGATCCGACCTGAGCCCCGCTACTGGTCTCGGAAATGAGAGGAGGCGAGGGGAAGGGGATGATCGTCTAGAAACCCACTGATGGCAGGGCGTGGTGTGCGTGTGCGGGTGTGTGTGTGTGTGTGTGTGTGTGTGTGTGTGTGTGTGTGTGTGCGTGTGCGGGTGTATGTGTGTGCGTGTGCGGGTGTATGTGTGTGCGTGTGCGGGTGTGTGTGTGTTTGCGCGTTCTGACCTGAGCCGCTACTGGTCTCGGAAATGGGCGGAGGCGAAGGGACGGGGATCGAGCGGTTAGTCTGCTGGGGAGATGCGGGAGATGATCCTTCGCGAATGCTGCTTGGGGGGAAGTGGGGAGGAGAGTGGGAGGGGTATAGCGGGGTTGGGTGACGGAAAAATCAAGGAAGCGAAGGGGGTCGGACTGCTAGCCTGCTGGGGAGATGCGGGAGATGGTGAGGATTCAGGGGTGTGGAATAGGGAGGGTGATAGGGAAGCGATACGCTCCTGAGCTGAGAGAATGACGCGGGTTGATTAAGCTGGAAGAATGCTCAGCCGCGTGCTGAATGAGAGGATGGCGAACGCGGATAGATAGACATGCTAGATGTCCGGAAACTCGATTTGAGGGTTGAGGATGGGGATGGGGAGCGGGAAGGGAGGGGAAACAGAACGTGGATACTGAGGAAAACGAAGCATTTGCCAGAGCAAGTACGTGAGAGGCGATAGAGTAGAGGAGACAGGAGTAGAAGTCAGCTGCTTAGGGCAAAATAAAAACTGTTTGGTAACCGAATTGGTTACATGGGCCGAGGAGGACGTAGCAGTGGTGATAAGAGTATAAAATGCGTGCTTATTAACCCGGAATCTCAATGCTGCTTTACGAGTTATGGTCCAATACGGATATGGACAAAAGAAGGTTATGGAAAAGACAAACCTGCGGTTCGAGGACCAGCCAGTGTGGCCGGCGATGCGAGGAGGGACGCCATTGGCTTAACCCACTCGTCAGGCTCAGTCTCCCTTAGGATTTAGAATGCGAGGCGTTTATTTACCACGCGATAATCGTACGAATGGACGCAATCTCGCAATATCTTGCAAAATCCGTACGAAAGTCTTGAAGGAGGTTTGCCGAACGGCGAGGACCTCGAAAATGGCGGACTCGCCTGCTCCTAAAGCGTAAAGCGCTTTAACTGTTGGTGCGTCCTAATGGAGGATAAGTTCGAGAAATCAGGGGATAAGGCTCGCGAAAGCTAACGAAGGCACCCAGTCAGAAAAATACTTCGTTCAACTCTAGTTACAAAATATCGTTGTGTCTGGAACACGTCGTTGAAGTTGCGCGAACTGGTTTCATCCTTCTCGAGGATTGCACGACGCGTGGCCCAATTGGAGAGAGTGGATAGGGAGGATCTCTGGTACTCTCAATAGTAGCTCTCTCATTTTCGTTTCCCTGCAGTCTTGATACATTGCACTTATGTGCAGTGAAAATTGTCTGCTCCTGGCAGGGTGATATATTATTTGAAATGCAGTCATGTTCCATTTTGAAACGGAGCCTCTGCACCCGGCTAGGAAAAAAAATACCGGTACCACACAATTTATGTTCTGGATCATTTTTTATTAAAAATACCTCGGAAGAAAGCAGTCGCGAATGCACTTTTCCACTTCAAGGCCTCCAAGTAGTTCCCAACAAATTTATAGGAATGAAAGAAAAATAGCTACACATTATTGCAGTCGTGTGAAATGATTGTGGAATTCCCCACTAGGTACATGTACCTAATCAAGTCTGCAGAGTGCCAACAGCAGTGATGGGAAAGTGGTTCCAGGCAGGTGAGAGGCGCTAGCATGAGAGGTGCCCAAGGATGGGAGCCGCCACCACCTTTGCTCCAGTGGATTAAGGCATGTTGCCGCAGGGTGTTTTGAGAAATCTCAAAAACACCCTGCAGCGTCATCATCTTTGGACCGGTGGAGGAAGGCGTGTTGCCGCAGACGGGAAGGAACGCCTGAGGATGGAAACAGGCTTCACCTGAACCCTCAATGTGCTGGGTTGGAATGACAAAGAATGAGAAGCAGCAACTGGTCACATCACAACACAATCATGTGAGCATGAGTCGTGCATTGATGGCAGGCAGGGAACCTGCATGGCCCCCAGGAGAAGGGAGAAACTTCTGAGACGTCTCAAAAGGCAAGGGGTCACATCACAACACAATCATGTGAGCATGAGTCGTGCATTGATGGCAGGCAGGGAACCTGCATGGCCCCCAGGAGAAGGGAGAAACGCCTGTGGATGGGAACTGTTTCAATGAGGATGGGACAAAGAAGGGACAGCACACAGAGATGGGACCGCACACAGAGATGGGACGGCACACAGAGAAGGGACGGGACACAGAGAAGAGAAAAGCAGAGAATAGACGATCCAGCCCATTTCACCCAATCACAGTAGCATACCAATTGATTTAGCATACCAATCGATGTATTATACCGAAGAATCACTCAAACCACACTCATCATCACTCTGTATCAGACCACATCTTATCATAGTATGCCTTATCATAGCACACCTTATCATAGCACACCTTATAATAGCAGAATGTATCATAGCAGACTGTATCATAGCAAACTGTATCATACCTCAGTACCCTGCCCAACCCACTCTACCTCATCCCACTGTACCCTGCCCAACCCACTCTACCTCATCCCACTGTACCCTGCCCAACCCACTCTACCTCATCCCACCGTACCCTGCCCAACCCACTCTACCTCATCCCACTGTACCCTGCCCAACCCACTCTACCTCATCCCACCGTACCCTGCCCAACCCACTCTATCTCATCCCACTGTACCCTGCCCATCCCACTGCGCCTTCCAGCGTACCCAACCCAACCCAACCCGTTCTGCTTGATCCCCACCCCACCTACCCCACTGCTCCCCATCCCACCCAAGGGAATTCACCCCTTCCTTCTCACCCATCCCACCCAAGGGGATTCACCCCTTCCTTCTCACCCATCCCACCCAAGGGGATTCACCCCTTCCTTCTCACCCATCCCACCCAAGGGGATTCATCTCTTCCTTCTCACCCATCCCACCCAAGGGGATTCACCCTTCCTTCTCACCCATCCCACCCAAGGGGATTCACTCCTTCCTTCTCACCCATCCCACCCAAGGGGATTCACCCCTTCCTTCTCACCCATCCCACCCAAGGGGATTCACCCCTTCCTTCTCACCCATCCCACTCAAGGAGATTCAGTCCCCATCCCTCTCAACCACCCAACCCCCATTCCCTCTCACCCACCGAACCCAAGGGGATTCATTCCCCTTCCCTCTCACCCACCCAACCCAAGAGGATTCAGTCCCCTTCCCTCTCACCCACCCAACCCAAGAGGATTCAGTCCCCTTCCCTCTCACCCACCCAACCCAAGAGGATTCAGTCCCCTTCCCTCTCACCCGCCCACCCAGCCCATCCCTACCTTCACCTGCCAGCGGTAGGGGCAGCAGAAAGCCCACTCAGGCCCCACTCACCACCCAAGGGGATTCAGGCCCCACTCACCACCCAAGGGGATTCAGGCCCCACTCACCACCCAAGGGGATTCAGGCCCCACTCACCACCCAAGGGGATTCAGGCCCCACTCACCACCCAAGGGGATTCAGGCCCCACTCACCACCCAAGGGGATTCAGGCCCCACTCACCACCCAAGGGGATTCAGGCCCCACTCACCACCCAAGGGGATTCAGGCCCCACTCACCACCCAAGGGGATTCAGGCCCCACTCACCACCCAAGGGGATTCAGGCCCCACTCACCACCCAAGGGGATTCAGGCCCCACTCACCACCCAAGGGGTTTCAGGCCCCACTCACCACCCAAGGGGATTCAGGCCCCACTCACCACCCAAGGGGATTCAGGCCCCACTCACCACCCAAGGGGATTCAGGCCCCACTCACCACCCAAGGGGATTCAGGCCCCACTCACCACCCAAGGGGATTCAGGCCCCACTCACCACCCAAGGGGATTCAGGCCCCACTCACCACCCAAGGGGATTCAGGCCCCACTCACCACCCAAGGGGATTCAGGCCCCACTCACCACCCAAGGGGATTCAGGCCCCACTCACCACCCAAGGGGATTCAGGCCCCACTCACCACCCAAGGGGATTCAGGCCCCACTCACCACCCAAGGGGATTCAGGCCCCACTCACCACCCAAGGGGATTCAGGCCCCACTCACCACCCAAGGGGTTTCAGGCCCCACTCACCACCCAAGGGGATTCAGGCCCCACTCACCACCCAAGGGGATTCAGGCCCCACTCACCACCCAAGGGGATTCAGGCCCCACTCACCACCCAAGGGGTTTCAGGCCCCACTCACCACCCAAGGGGTTTCAGGCCCCACTCACCACCCAAGGGGATTCAGGCCCCACTCACCACCCAAGGGGATTCAGGCCCCACTCACCACCCAAGGGGATTCAGGCCCCACTCACCACCCAAGGGGATTCAGGCCCCACTCACCACCCAAGGGGTTTCAGGCCCCACTCACCACCCAAGGGGATTCAGGCCCCACTCACCACCCAAGGGGTTTCAGGCCCCACTCACCACCCAAGGGGTTTCAGGCCCCACTCACCACCCAAGGGGTTTCAGGCCCCACTCACCACCCAAGGGGTTTCAGGCCCCTTTCTCTCTCACTCACCCCACCCAGCCCATCCCACCTTCACCTGCCAGCAGTAGGAGCAGCAGAAAGCCCACTTTCTTAAGGAAACAGCACCCCCAGAGGCGGTGCCTTGTGGGGCGTGGAAAATTGCTTCCAGCCCAAGACTCAAATCCCACCCCTGACGTGGCTAGAGCTGACGCGAACCAGAGCCGCCGGCCGGTCGGCTCTGACGGTGTCCATTAAGCCTTAAACGCCAGATTGGTTACTTGAGCACCGAGTGCCGTGCCGCGCAGATTCCACCCACCACACCCCGATCCACAAGAAAGAACCCCAGGAGATGCTGTCCCTAAGGCAGTGAACTCCCACTTGCTCCCGTGCTCCCCACCCGCCCACCCCACACTTCACCCCCATGCCTACTTACCTCTACCTACCAGAGCCATGCAGAGCGCCATGATGCCTTAGGCTGCTGGGAAGGGGGTGGGGGAAGGGAGGGGGGGATGAACGGAAGGAGGGGACTCCACTGTGGTCCAGGCAGGGTGCTGCTGGGAGGGAAGGGAAAAGGGAGAGAGAGGAGGAGGTGAGTGAGAGGGCGGACTTCACTCTCCTGTCCTTGCTCCAGTGCTCCCACTCTCAGGCTGCAAAAAGGACAAGGGGGGGAGGGGGAAGAGAGAGAGGAGAGAATCAGACTACCATACCTCACCTGATACCTTACCTCACCTGTTACCGTACCATACATGATACCACACCTCCCCACAGCTTCAGCTAGCTTGGCCTGCCCTCAACCCCCCACCCCCACCGCTGCTACCGCCGCTGCTTCTGCTGCTGCAACCGCTGCTGCCGGTCTGCTACTCTGCTTCCTCTGCTGCAAACTTCTATTGTTGCCAAGTGACCTAGTAGCGCGCATAAATTGGGGGAAAGGGGCAGGGTCGGGAGAGGAGGGGCGGGAGGAGCGAGTAAGTTGGCATCAAGGAATCACTCAAGTAAACCGAAGAACACTAGAGTGGACAAAAACGAGAATGCAGAATTGAAGAGAGGGATATGACGCATCTGTAGCAGGGAGGGAAAAGAGGCTCACCTTGGTTCAGACGACCCAGCCCAATACTCTCCCATCCTATCCCAGCCGAGTGGAGTGTTGCCCCCCTCCCCTCCCACCACTGCCACCTGCACGGCCACAAGGGGAGGGGTGTGAGGTAGTGGCGGTGTTGACCCCCACGCCCCTCCCCACAACCAGCAAGGAGAGAACTGAAGAGAAGTGAGTAAGCGGCTAGGGGTAGAAATGTGAGGGGAGTGCATGAGATGGCATGTGGGAGCAGAGAAGGGAGCCACTAGTGCAGCCTCAGCTACAAGCCACAGATCCAAGGAGGAAGAATACCTAGGGAGGCTTAACCTGAGGGGATACCTGCCGTGTTACCAGGGGGGGATTATCCAAGAAAATGGGTCTGTGGCTTGATGCTTTGGCTCAACAAGAGGCTTGATGCTTTGGCTCAACAAGAGGCTTGATGCTTTGGCTCAACAAGAGGCTTGATGCTTTGGCTCAACAAGAGGCTTGATGCTTTGGCTCAACAAGAGGCTTGATGCTTTGGCTCAACAAGAGGCTTGATGCTTTGGCTCAACAAGAGGCTTGATGCTTTGGCTCAACAAGAGGCTTGATGCTTTGGCTCAACAAGAGGCTTGATGCTTTGGCTCAACAAGAGGCTTGATGCTTTGGCTCAACAAGAGGCTTGATGCTTTGGCTCAACAAGAGGCTTGATGCTTTGGCTCAACAAGAGGCTTGATGCTTTGGCTCAACAAGAGGCTTGATGCTTTGGCTCAACAAGAGGCTTGATGCTTTGGCTCAACAAGAGGCTTGATGCTTTGGCTCAACAAGAGGCTTGATGCTTTGGCTCAACAAGAGGCTTGATGCTTTGGCTCAACAAGAGGCTTGATGCTTTGGCTCAACAAGAGGCTTGATGCTTTGGCTCAACAAGAGGCTTGATGCTTTGGCTCAACAAGAGGCTTGATGCTTTGGCTCAACAAGAGGCTTGATGCTTTGGCTCAACAAGAGGCTTGATGCTTTGGCTCAACAAGAGGCTTGATGCTTTGGCTCAACAAGAGGCTTGATGCTTTGGCTCAACAAGAGGCTTGATGCTTTGGCTCAACAAGAGGCTTGATGCTTTGGCTCAACAAGAGGCTTGATGCTTTGGCTCAACAAGAGGCTTGATGCTTTGGCTCAACAAGAGGCTTGATGCTTTGGCTCAACAAGAGGCTTGATGCTTTGGCTCAACAAGAGGCTTGATGCTTTGGCTCAACAAGAGGCTTGATGCTTTGGCTCAACAAGAGGCTTGATGCTTTGGCTCAACAAGAGGCTTGATGCTTTGGCTCAACAAGAGGCTTGATGCTTTGGCTCAACAAGAGGCTTGATGCTTTGGCTCAACAAGAGGCTTGATGCTTTGGCTCAACAAGAGGCTTGATGCTTTGGCTCAACAAGAGGCTTGATGCTTTGGCTCAACAAGAGGCTTGATGCTTTGGCTCAACAAGAGGCTTGATGCTTTGGCTCAACAAGAGGCTTGATGCTTTGGCTCAACAAGAGGCTTGATGCTTTGGCTCAACAAGAGGCTTGATGCTTTGGCTCAACAAGAGGCTTGATGCTTTGGCTCAACAAGAGGTTTGCATTTGAAGAGACAAGAAAACAGGAGATGCAGCAAGGATGAACGTGGAAAGCAAACGAACACGAGAGAGATTGGGAGGAGAAAGTGAGGGCGGATACTTAGCTGTGGGTGGGTTGGGTGGAGAGCAGCTGCTGTTGCACTCCATATCCCCCGCCACTGCCACTCCCGTATGAGCAACCTGCTGGGACGACGGGGATTGGAGCAGAGAGAGGAAGGGAGGGAGGAGAGGACGGGGATGTGAAGGGCAATGAGAAAGAAGGGAACACAGGGCAGGGAGCAGCAAGCGAAGTGAGCATGGGCAGAAAACCAAGCAGCAGCGCGAGTGAAGGAAGAACAGACATTCAAGCATCTGTAGAAGGGAGGGGAAAAGAGGTTCACCTTGTTTCAGACAACCCAGCCCGATACTCTCCCTTCCCATCCCAGCCGAGTGGAGTGCTGCCCCCCTCCCCTCCCACCACTGCCACCTGCAAGGCCACAGGGGTGGAGCGCGAGGGAGCGGCGGTGTTGACCCCCACGCCCTCCCCGCCACCTGCAACGCACACACAGAGCTAGTCAGAGCGCAGTGGTGGGAGCAAGTTGAAAGGGAAACTGTCACTTGAAATGCAGCACAAGGGAAGAGAGGAGGAGCCACTGGTGAAGGCACGGCCACAAGCTGCAGACCCACTCGCCAGGTGCAGGTGCAGGTTGGTAGCGGCTCTTGTGGGGTTGTGGTTGGCGTCACATGCACTGTCGTTTCTGCTGTTGCACGTTTATTTGACGATTTTCTCCATTGCAACCCCTCTAACTTTCGGCTGCCTTTCGTTTCCGCCCTCCCTCCCCTCCCATCCCTTCCCTGCCAGGCCTTCACAAGCCAGGGGGGCGGCAGCAGGCGAGCAGCAGGCGAGGGGAGCATCAGGGCGGGCAGCAGGAGCGCGGGCAGCGGGGCAGCAGCGCCGGCCTCATCAACGGTTGAGGTTGCAGTATCGCCCCTGCCACCACACTCCACTCGAGCCCACTCCCCCTCAGGTTCAGGTGCAGGTTCAGGTTGGTAGCGGCTCTTGTGGGGCTGTGGTTGGCATCACATGCACCGTCTTTTTTGCACTCGCACTGCTGCCTGTCGTCTCGTTTTAAAAAGTCACTCCCTCCCACCTGCCTCTTACTATCTCTCTATTTCTCTCTCCCCTTCTCCACTGCCTCGCAGGTCCATCCCTTCAAGCCCCA